CCGCTGGTAGCACTGCCCTCTGGCCTTGCTGCCCCACCTCCTCTCGGGCCCACCTTCGCTGTGTCCCAGGCTATTGGTTCTTGTTCTGTGGCCCTGCTCCGAGTGTCCTGTCTTTCACGTGACCTGCCATTTTCCCAACTGTCCTGAGGATTAAGGGTTATGGCTGCTTTGTTTCCTGCAGTCTGCACTACATGTCTGCAGTGCATAACGATTGTAATCATGCAAAGCTGGCACGTGTGCACAACGCATCTCAATTCTTTTTTACATTTCCTTTTCCTCCCCTCCATTTCTTAGTCCCATTCCCTCTTTAAAAAAGATCAGTTTAGGGGCCCAGGAATTAGCTCAGTGGCTTCGCCACCTGCCTCACAACCACAAGGTCCTGAGTTTGATCCCCGGTACCAAAAAAAAACAAAGGATCAATCTCCTGTTTCCTGTTGATCTTTTTTTGTACCAGGGATTGAACTGAAGACCTCGTGAGTGTGAGGCAGGCACGGTGCCACTGAGCTGCATCCCCGGCCCTTTCTTGTTCTTTATTTGTGCTATGGGTTTTCCATGTAGAAGAAACCATGCAGTACCCAAGCTGTGTGTCTGAGTGCCCTCTCCATTTTGAGCCTCAGGACCAAATCACCATCACTGGGTATGAGAAGAACACAGAAGCTGCCCGAGATGCCATCCTGAAGATCGTGGGTGAGCTGGAGCAGATGGTGAGTGAGGACGTCCCCCTAGACCACCGTGTCCACGCCCGGATCATCGGTGCCCGTGGCAAAGCCATCCGCAAAATCATGGATGAGTTCAAGGTGAGCCCTGCAAGCCCACAGGGGTGCAAACTCACACCCTCCCCAGACACCCAGCTGACAGCTGCTGCTTCCAGGTGGACATCCGCTTCCCCCAGAGCGGAGCCCCGGACCCCAACTGCGTCACTGTGACGGGGCTCCCGGAGAATGTAGAGGAGGCCATCGACCACATCCTCAACCTCGAGGAAGAATATGTGAGTCCTGGGTGGGCAGGGCCTGGGGACCCCAGAGCCTGCCCCACCACAATCCTGAGGTGACAGCCAGGTAGTGCAGGCCCAGGTGGGTGGTGGGTGCCCTCTGCAGCTCCCCGGGAGTGCCACACAGAGGGCCAGCCACCTTGGGCTGCAGACAGACACACCACCCCTGCCCACAGCTGGCTGATGTGGTGGACAGTGAAGCGCTGCAGGGTCACATGAAGCCCCCAGCGCACGGGGAGGTCAAGGCCCCATCCAAAGGCTTTGTGGTGCGGGATGCGCCCTGGACAGCCAGCAGCAGCGAGAAGGTCAGTGCTCGGCGACGCAGTGAGGTGGTGGGCTGGTGTGCGGCGGGGGGCATGGCTTGTCCTGAAGTCGCGTCCTCCGTCCCCACAGGCTCCTGACATGAGCAGCTCCGAGGAATTTCCCAGCTTTGGCGCGCAGGTGGCCCCCAAGACCCTCCCCTGGGGCCCCAAACGATAATGCTCAGAAAACAGAAACCTTTCCAGCCTGCTGCCCTGCACCCGCCTGCACCGCGGTTTGTCTCCACCTGACCCAGTGGCCGGCGGCCCCTCCTCCCCTCCCTGAGGTCTGGCAGCGAAGTCTGGCGGGCCGGCCCCCAATGGCCGCTCCTCCAGGCAGGGTCGGCACCCAGCAGCTCGGCGTCAGCTGCGACACTGCTCCAGGACAGGTGCCTCTGTCTAAACACTAAGTCGAGGCAATTGAGCACCGTGACCACACAGACTGCAGCGTCCTGGTCCACCCGGCATGTGGTCAGCACTCTGACCTCCATTACCAGAGCTCCGCAGCAGCGGCTAGGAGTCGACTTCCTGTGTCATGACCTCAGGAAATAAATTTCCTTGACTGTACAAAAGCCAAAACGTTTGCCCTCTTCCTTTCGCACTGCCTCCTGCCTGCCGCCTGTGATCCAGACCTCCTTCAGCCGCCAGATCCGCCCGGCGCCGGGCTTGGGGCGGGAGGACGGGCCGGCTCAGGAGCAGAGTCTGAGCGTCCTGGAGCTGGAGGAGTCCGAGGCCGCCGGTCCCGATGACACCCGTCTGGGGTCTCTGCACACCCTTGGCTCCTCAGCCTGGAGCACAGCGCCTGGAGAGGCCCTGCATGCCACCTGGCTCCCCTGTGCTGCCACAGCGGCCTAGTGTGGGCTGGGACTCATAGGGCACGGGGACGAGAATGGGTGCTTTCTCCTCAGTGGGGACAGCTTGCCTCTCTTCAGTCCGCCGAGGTCCTGTGCCCACCCTCCCACACACCTCTTGGCCAGTTGCCTTCTTTCTACCTCAGCCCACCAGTGTACTCGGTCTCCCGGGGGCCAGAGCTGCCCGGGTGGGCTGTGTTGCAGGTGCCCACCGGGTTGGGGTGGGGGTATGCCGAGCTCAAGGCCAGTGCCTGCCCTCAGCCCAGCGGCTCGGGGCTGGTCTAGAGTGGGGTGCTCAGGAGCCTGTAGGCACAGGCGTCACAGTCCTGAGGACAGGCTGTTGCTTAGCCTGGACCAAGGAGTGAAGCCGATGAGAACCAAAGGACCAGTAGCTGGGAGCCCTGCAGCCGAGGGGCCCGCTCTTCCTCAGGTGTGTGGCAGGTGACTGAGTCCTGGACCACTGCCTGCGGTCACTCTGCAGGAAAAGGTGGTCCTGAGCAGAGGCGTCTGCCCCGGGGGCTGGGCTGGCCTGATTTCAGGTTGCCTGGGCCACTAACAAGCCATTGGTCCACCTACTCAGGTTCCTAAGAAGACCAGGTTACCCATCTCGGGCTCTGGGGCCATCACTTCCGCTAGGACACCTTCCACCAGGTCTCCCTCGGCTCAGAGACTCAGGCTTGGCCATCTTTAGACTGCGGAACTCCGAGTGGGCACTTCCTGTGGGCCTCGTGCTTCTGCACAGGCTGTGGCTCTGCTTCAGCCAGCCTGATGGGCCAGGGAGAGAAGGCAGAGGGCTTCTTGCCTCCCCCAGGGGCTGTCTCACCTCCTGTCAACCCTTCCATCTCCAGGAGTCTCAAGGCTTCTTGCAACCCCAACCCCACCCTGGCCCTCTGCCTCCCTGATACCCATCCCACCCTCTTCTCTTCCTGGGTCTTTTTTCTACAGCGTCCCCCTGAACCTCCGGTCCCTGCCCTTCCCTGTAGGTCAATTTTAAATTCTCACAACTGGATTTTGCACATCTCTACCTACTTCTAAGTGCTGTAGATTCAAACCCTGCCCTGAGCTGTTCAGGGTTTTCCTTCCTCCTTTTTCGTCATTGTTAATGACTACCAGGTGTCTCCCTGCAGCCTCGCAGCTGTCCAGGGCCCTGGGCAGGAACCCGGGAGTGTCTCTCTCCCTCCTTGTTGAATGTCTTCCATATCCTGTGTTTCCATAGCTACGTCCATTCCTTGGCCTTAACTTTGGAATTTGGAGATTATTATGCAAACATGTGTAAAGGCTCATGAATATGGATGACACTGGAATTTTATAAAGTCTAAAATAAAACCAGAAACCTGATGCAGTGTGCTGGGGCTTGTTTTATCACATGTGCATTCTTGTTCCTGTGGCAGTGCCAGTCTGTGTGGTTCCCCCGGCAGTTATCAGCACTGCCACTGCCACCCCCCAGCCAGGAAGGGGAGACCCAGCTATGGGGCACAAGCTCAGGAGGTCTTGCCTGTCCCTGCACCCACCCTGTCCTTCAGCTATCACTGTCGAGGGTGGATAGCCATACTTGGTAGGCAGCAGAGTTCTTATCAAAGGTGCCCCTTTAGCTGGGGATTCGGTTGCCAGGAAAGCCCACGCCAGTCCCCGTGTGGTGTGAGGGAGCCTGTGGAGGACCAAGTGGCACCCTGGCACTGAGGCCCGGTCCCCCCCGAGGCAGGCACGCCTGTGCCTGGTTATGCAACAGTTCAAGTCCCACCAGTCCCAAGGAGGTGCCCAGGCACCTGCCATGTCCCCTTCAGGGACTCAGCAGCCAGGAGGAGCCACTGGAGCACCACAGATGAGGCCCTGGTGATGGTGGGAGGAGTCGCTGGGCTTCCCTGGCTCTGTCCCTGGCTTAGGACCATGGTGGGGACTGCTTTGGGTAGAGACGGTCACCAGGGCTCGTGTAGGCAGGGGCTACCCGCAGGCCAGTTTCAGCAGTGTGTCTGTGCAGCAACCTATAGTCCCAGCACTTTGGAGGCTGAGCCAGGGGGTCACAAATTGAATATCAGCCAGAGCACTTCAGCAAGATTCAAAAGATAAAAGGCTGCAGACGGGGTCTAGTGGCAGGGTTCAAGCCCTAGTACTGAGGGAAGAAGAGCCTGTCCCTTGGGACACCTCCAGCGCACTTGAAGGGCTGCACCTATGGAAATGGGCATCGAGCACAGCGTGTTCCAGCATCACCCACAACGAGGGGAAGAGGAGGTCTTCATCCCCACCATGAGGCACAGCCACGCTTGGAGATGCGGGGAGAACACCCCATTACCCACATGAGCAACAGAAACGGAATGACAAAGCAATGGGTCCTCTTGCCCAGGTTGGAGAACAACTGTGTATAAACATGGAAAAATCTGGAAAGGGGCCTCCAGGGATGGCCAGGGGTCCGTCCCAAAGCCTGGCTGCGTGAGCACCTGCTGCCTCCTACCCCTAGCCTAGCCCAGAGGGCTGATTTTAGTCTGGTTGCCCAGGACACTACAAGAACACAGCCAGACATCCCCGACCGCGGCCAAGGTGGAGAGAGACAGCAAATCGAGGGCAAGTATTTGGGGTGCAGGGACGGAGCGGGGCCCCGGGTGCAGGCCTGGTCTGCCCAGGCAGGTACAGTCAGGAAGTTGGCAGAGGAGAGGACAGTGGAGGGCTCCCAAGGATGGCACCCTCTCCCTCACGAGCATAGCAGGCGCGAGGGTACCAGAAAAAGACTGATGATGACCCTGGGCCTGAGAGGCCAGGACTCCAGAGTCTTCCAGGCCAGTGCTGTAGTCAGCAGGATTTGGCAAGGGGATACATTAAATACAGGACACATAACTTACAAGATTATTTTAGGATAATTAACCAAACAGTCAAATGCAAAGGAGTGCAAGAGATTAACCACACACTAGAAGCCCAAAGGACTCAGCCAAGGGACCGGATCCCAGCAGTTTCCCACACAAGTCCAGCTAAAGGCAGTGTCCTCCTTGAGTCCAGCTAGTGGCCTAGAGCCCACGGCAATCTCTCCTGCTTGTCCTTATTAAGGATCTGCACCTGGAAGGCCCAAAGGCCAGTGGTAGAAGCCAGAAAACCTGCGCCGGTGAGATGAAGGATCTGTGCCACCAGGCTGAGGAAGCCACACTGGAGCCAGGAAGGGATGCTCACGGTGAAGACCAGAGCTCCCCTGATGAGAAAACAGCAGCCGTTGCCAGTGACAGTGGGGCCCGAGCCCCTCCTCCGATGAGAACAGCCAAGTTCACATCAGGAAAACCATCTGCAGCAAGCTTCTCGTAGGAAATCAACAGGCCAAGATCCTCCCCTCCAGCTCTCTTTTTATGGCTGTTGTTAACAATCTTCAGGTGGGTCTTCCATGCCCAGGCCACGCTGATTCAGTTCAGCTGGGCGTTACAAGTTGACTGTTAGTCAGCCCACTACAGCCAGACTGGCAGAAGAGTCATGTCCGAGTGGAGGGTTCACAAGCCTGTGTGGCCAGGGAGACAGCCTCCTCTTGGTCAGTGTGGACAGGGACCCCTGGGCTGAGATTTGGGGCCCTGCTAGGGGGTGAGAAGCTGGGGACTGAGGCCCAGGGAGGACAGGCTCATGAGCAGAGCAGCCAGGCAGGCAAGGGCCACCAAACCCAGCATTTCAGACAGGGTCCTCATGAGGTGGGGCATGGGTGGGGGTAGCAGGATCAGCCCCCAAAGGCCACCAGATACCTGGCCTTGGGGACCCCGAGAGGAGTCCAATAGGGAAAGCAGGTTGTAGGAGCAGGGCCCGGGCTTCTAGGAGGAGTGAGGGGCAGGGGCTGTGGGCCCTGAGTGAGTGGTGAGCTGCCCCTGGTGTTCAGTCTCCTCCAGGCAGGCCGGTGACCCTGCTGTGGCCTCCGAGAGGGAACAGGAGGCCACTGGGCCCCGGTGGCCATGAGCCGAGGGCTGGCCTGCAGGTGCTCCTGCTTTACCTTCATAGCCATGGCCTCTGGGATGTCAGGCACCAGGAGGCCAAGACGCGCCTGATGGAGAACACCACGTGGTGGAATGGAAGATTCCAGTCCCCAGCCAGGGATGTGGCTCGGCGCCACACCTGCATTGCAAGCACAAGGTCCTGAGTTTGATCCCTAATACCAAAAAAAAAAATGGAATGGAAGACAAACGCCCAGAGTGGCCTCCCGGTGACTGCAGGACTGGGTGGGAGAGCAGAGTGGCTATGCAGGACAGCAGAGTGCTGGAGCCCACCCCAGCCACAAGGTGCCCCACCTGGCCCTGCAGCCCACCCTGCCCCCAGAAAACCACAGCACAGAGCAAGAGGAAAAATGAACTCGAGGAAGGCGGTGTGTTCGAAAACACTGCACCACACAGGTTCACAAGGTACACCAATAAACCTGATAAACAGATGACTAACAAAGGTCTCTCTCTGTGCTTTGTTTTGTTTTGGTACCAGGGATCGAATTCGGGTCCTTGTGCCCAGGTTCAGTCTGGAAGGGTGGAAGGGGTTAGAGGTGGCTTCCCTGTCCCATAGCGGCCAGGGGTGTCCCCAGGCTGAGGGCACACTCTCCACATTGCTCAACTGGCGGGAGACCCTGCTTGGTGCCTGGACAGCCTGCTGGTCCTGGGCGCTGGGCTCCCGGCCAGATTCTCCTCTCACCCCTCTGGGGGCAGCTTACAGGAAACTGCTCTGTGCAAGGCGTTCCCGGGTCTACTGCAAAATCGCTAGGGAGAGCATCAGGTCCCGCTGTCCACGTCCGGTGGAGCGGGACACACACTGGCAAGTTCGCTCTCCACCTGGACTTTTCTGCTCACTTTTATCCATAGAACGATGCCACTACCATCACCCTTTTTGCTTTGGCTGCCAGGAAGCTCAGGATTGTTTGTTTGGTTCAGACACAGTGCTTACTAGACTAGAGCTAAACCAAGATTCTTTTCACTTCTTTTTTTTTTTTGGTACCTGGTATTGAACTCAGGACCTTTGCTTGGAAGGCAGGCACAGCATCACTGAGCCACATCCCTGGCCGTCTTTTCCCTTCTGCGCTGCAGGCCCTGCCCTCATAAAGCCCCGACCCGTTCCGGCATCAAGCCATGGGCACAGCCCTCCACCCGGCCAGGGCATCTCTCGGGCCTGAGCCTGGGAGGATGCTGGGGGCGCCCCAAGCTGCCTGGTGTCTCCAGTCCTCCCCACTTTCTGATCCCTCCACTCCAGCCCCACCCAGAGCGCCAAGTGCTTCAGGGCGTGAGGCAGGGGAGTGCCAGCCTGAAGCGTCTTCTACCAACTCCAGGTACTGGTGCAGCAGCCCCTGGCAGGGCAGCAGCTCACAGTGCACCTCTCAGGGCACTGGGCCTCCCTCCCTCCCTCCCTCCCTTCCGTGCAAAGATGGCCAGCAAATGAGGAAGGCTGGCCCAACACATTCCTGTCAGGAACTCGACCGGAACCTAGGGAACACTGGCAGGACAGGGAGAGAGATAGGCGACCAACTTCCAACCAAGTCAGGGCGCCTGCCTATGATCCCAGCACCGTGGGAGGCAGAGGCAGGAGATCACAAGTTCAAGTCCTACTGGGGCAATTTAGCCACTTAGTGAGAACTTGTCTCAAAATAAAAACTGAAAAAGGGCTCAGGGGGCCGGGGATTTAGCTCAGTGGTTTCGCCGTCTGCTGCACAAGCGCAAGGACCCAAGTTCGATCCCCGGTACCAAAAAAAAAAGGGCTCAGGGCGTTGCCCAGTATGAAGGTTCAATCCTCACAAAACAAAACAACAAAAACAATTCTTAAATGGGCAAAGATGTTGAAGAGACCTTTAAGAGAAGATGTAGGCCTGGCGTGGTGGCACAGGCCTGTAATCCCAGACCTCAGGAGGCTGAGGCAGGAGGATCACCACGAGTTCAAGGCCAGTCTGGGCTACACAGTGAGTTCAAACTCAGCCTGAACTACACAGCGAGGCCCTGTCTCACAAAAGAAAAAAAAAGAAAGAAAGTAAAATGGGAGTAAGCATATAAAAAGATAGCCAAGCTAGGTGTGGTGGTGCACGCCTGTGATCCCAGCACTCAGGAGGCTGAGGCACGAAGATTGCCTGGAATTGAAGGCCAGCTTGGATTACATAGTGAGTTCAAGGCTAGGCCGAGCTACATAGCGAGACCCTGGCTCACCTCCCCCACATACCCAAATCATAAAACAAAAAACAACTTCATGCTAAGCAAAGAAACCAGTCACAAAAGATGCTGGGACACAGGACTCTGTTTTCACGAAACATCAGAACTGGCAGGTGTGTAGATCCGCGGCCGCCCACAGCAGAGGACAGGCCACAGAGGAGGGCTGGGAGCGACTGCTGGTGGGTTGGAGTTCCTTCGAGGTGAGTTTCTCACGGGAATGTCACACACAGGGTGTGGTGAGGAGGACACAGTGTGGACGCAGTGAGAACCATGGGACTTAGGCTGCAAGGCAACTGCAGTTTGTAAATTATACACGCTGGTCCCTTGACTTATGAACTCAATTCGTTTTCCAGGGCTGACTGTAACTCAAGCTGGTTATAAATCAAGACAATTTTTCCCATAAGAAACAGTGGGAATACCCATGTGTTCCGAACCTCCCAAAGCACCCTAACCTTTATATAATACAAAAAGTGTTATATAATGTTCCTAACTTACCAGAAACACCAATAATTTTCCTAGTATATCCAGTTGTAACCCAAGTTGTTCGTATGTCAGCCTGGTCATAACTCGAGAGTCCACTGAATCAATAAAGCTATTTTTGTTCTTTTGAGACGAAGTCTCTGTGTAGCCCAGGCTGCTTTTGAACTCATGACGATCTTCCTGCCTCAGCCTCCCCAGTGCTAGGATCACAGGCGTGAGCCACCACAGTCGGAAACTCCCTTGTTTTTGAGAACCTGCCAGGGCCTCCACAGGAACGACCCTGACTACTGCGGAGGACACAGCCCCGCCGACCTTGCACCAGGCTCCACTTCTGAAAGGGCTCCCACCTCTTGCCAGGCCACCGTGGGGACCAGGTTTCCAGCACCCCAACCCCTGGGGCTGCCATTCACCTTGGCCGGCACTCACTCGGCCTGACAGCCTTGGTCCATACCCAGGCCACAGTGGAGACCCACAGCGAGGAGATGACACGAGACAGAGACGAGGGCCAGAACACACTGGGGTGATGTCTTCCAAGAGGTCCTCAGGATCCCCGTCCGGACGTCACGAGTAGTGACAGTGTCCTCAACACCAGGGCAAAACACAGGGGTTACAGGGACAGAAACGGAGGAGCCGTGGTCACCAGGCTGGGCTAACAGAAAGGCAGACGGGAGTTCTCCAGGAGGAAGTGCAGGAAGGAACGAAGAGCCTGGGAGAGGTAGATAGGTGGATGATTACAAATAAGCAGAAAGTAAAATGAATAAAGCTTTGTGAAATCCATTGGCTGCTATGTTCAGACATGTATTTCTGAAATACGTGCGGAATGAGGTGTGGTGGCAGGGGGATTTGAAGTTCAAACTCAGCCTGCGCAGCTTAGTGATTAGCGAGACTCTGTTTCAAATGCAGAATTAAGAGGGATTGGGGATGGAGCTCTCTGGCAGACCTCTTCCCAAGAATGTGTGAGGCCCTAAGTTCAATCCCCAGCGCCACGGGAAAGAGTGAAAGAGGGAAAGAGAGAGAGAGAGAGAGGGAGAGGGAGAGAGGGAGAGGGGCAGAGAGAGAGAGAGAGAGAGAGAGAGAGGTGGGGGGAGAGGAGGCGCGGAGCTGGCTGTGGCCCTGCACACCGGCCAGGGTGGCCCTGGGCTGCCGGTCTGGCCTGGGTACCCAGGTCCGTGGAGGGCCCCCTCTGCGACCTGCTTCAGGGCCTTGGGCGTGGGGAAGGGAGGGGCTGGGACTCTCCCGCCCGCCCTGCAGCCCCAGCCCAGTCTGCCCTTCCGCCTTGCTCTGCGGTCTTTTGGAGCAGCTCTCCTGACTCAGTGGCCAGTGGTGTTAGGCCTCTGCTGCACACTTCGCTCCCTCCTGCCAGCTGGCCTGGTGCGGGCTGCTGCGACTCCCCGGGGCAGAGAGCAGGACTTGGAGGTGCTGTAGGTGGATGGGATGGGCAGGTTCCCCAGCCTGGCCCCAGTGAAGGCCTCCCAGGCAGCCCACTCTACCCGGCACTGGGAAGAAGCTGCCTCCTGGGAGACGCGGGGGAGGGCAGGCCTGGGCTCCTCCGCCCTGCCCCTCCTACCCCAGGGCCTCCGCCTGGGCCTGGTGGGCAGGAAGGAGGGCCGGCCCCAGGGTGCCACCCCACAGCCTCTGGGAGGGAGGGAGGCCGACTGTCCCCATGGGCCTGGAGGGCAACCCGGCAGTGGGCGGAGACAGAGGGGTTCTGAGGCCTCCCCGTTCCCATGGGTGGGGCTCCGCACTCGAGCTGCCAGGGCAGACACAGGGCCTGCAGGACAGGCCCTTCTCACGGGCTCCACGGCCCGGCTGCCCGAGTCTTCCCCAGCCCAGTGTGAGCCACCTATGGCCTCCCAGTGTCGGGGCCCAGAAGATGGCAGAGGCCATCTCTGAGCCCAGGCAGGAGCCAGTGCTGTGCTCCCGGATTTGACTCGGGACCAGCATCTGAATCTCAGTGACCAGAGCTGAGGCTGCGGCTGCTGCAGAGACCGGAGGCCCCCGGAGGCCCCCAGGGTCCTGCGGACCTGTGACACAGGTGGGCCATGACCTGTCCCGGGTGCTGCCCACCTGGCCCTTTATAAAGACACCTCGTGCAGCGTGCAGCATCACTGCAGGTTGGGTCCCCTGATCCATCCCACCCCGACTCACCCCTGACCCCTGCAGCGCCTCCCTGAGGCAGGACTTTGACCAAGCCAGTTTGGAGGTAGGGACAGGCACTGCGTCCCTCCACGTGGATGCTGCCCTGCAAGGGACCGAAATACCGACTATGCCCAAGGCGGGCTGTGCAGAGCTAACCCCACAATAGGGTTGTTTACAGAGGTGAGTCGGGCTGAAGGCTGCGTGCCCCGGTCAGAGTCACTCGAAGCCAAATTCCGTTCCCACAATTGAAACTTTCTTAACTAGAAAGACAATGCTCTAATTACAATCACATATTTAGTCTGTTCTGTTCCTAATTTGAGAATGCTCTGTCTTGTCCCTTATGAGCCTTGACTGCATTAGTTTCCATAGAAACCACAGGGACTGCGCATCTTTACCTGCAGTCCTGCCCTTGCACATAGTTCACCTTTACCCCAGTTGATTACCAATAAAAATCAGTGGCACCAGGGATTCGGCTCAGTGGTTCTACCACCTGCCTTGAAAATGCAAGGTCCTGAGTTCGATCCCTGGTACCAAAAAAAAAAAAAAATCAGTGGCTTGGACTGGCCAGTGCCTTTGTCGCTTGCGCCGGCCTTGGCCATCCTGGCCCCCGCTTGCTCAGGCCTGCGTCATACACTGAGCAGGGGACTGGAGCCTACTGCAGAGGTTTCCGGTAACGCTTCAGGGATTTTCAGTACTGTCCCTCTTTCTTGGGGTTAATTTTGAGTTCTCAGGCAATAAAACATCCAGGGCCTAACAATGACCCACTGCTCCTGGGGCCACTGCTGGGTGTGCAGATGTCGCCTCCTGAGTGCCAGGAGCCAGGCTCCACCTGTCTGAACATCATCCCTGGGGTCCCTGAGCTGCAGGGCACTGGAGGGACCCGACCCTACCCTGCCTCTGCTCTCCTGTCCCCTCCCCTTTTCTTCTCCAAACACCAATGGTTCTGTCTGTCCCCGTGGCCTTCCAGGTGGGCTGAGGCCTGGGTGTGGCCAGGATGTGTGCAGGTGGACAATCCCTTTGGGGGCTCCAGGCCAAGGCAAGGCACAGCCCCTGGGGGCTCCCAAGTTTCACAGACACCTGGGGTTCCAGAGCCTTGGGTCCAGGGACAGGGGACCCCCACTGCCGGGCCACTCACCTGTGGGGAGCGGGCCTTGCTCCCCTAGGGGCCGCTCCCTTCCACCTGGAGGACGCCATGGAGATCAGCATGGTGTTGTCCTCCCCCTGGGCTTGCAGCCGCTCCTGCATCAGCCAGGCTGCCAGTGACAGAGGGGACACGAGTCACCCCGCAGCCCAGCCAGCCCCCCTTGCAGCTAACAAGACAGGGTGGCAGGACGGGTGGGGACTGTCCCTGAATGTGTGTGGCCACCTCCCCACTGGAGCCAGCCCCTGGTGGGGGCGCTGTCCACCCACCTGCCTGTCCTTCCGGCGAGGGCTGAGTTCCCTGCCCTGGGCACTGTCCCCTCTGCATGGGGACAGGGCATGGAGGCCCAGGAAGGTAGGCTTGATGTGCAGCCTCTTTCTCCTGCACCTGCAAGGGGCTTGTCAGTGTCAAGGGGACAAGATGGGGCCTGTAAAGCCACCTGCCCTTGCTGTGCTGCTGGGGGACCTGGGCCAGGACCCAGCAAGGAAGGCACAGTGCCCAGGGCCCCTGGGTCTCTTCCTGGGAGGACAGCGCCCCATCGCTGGCAATGGGGTGTATACATGGTGCAGAGGGAGTCATGGCTGAGGAGACGGCTTCAACCAGGGGTAGCACTGAGGGCCTCCGGTGTCATCTGCTGCATGGGGACTCGCTGGCTTGGGGGACTGAGGCTGCTTAGGCCTGAGGACCTGGCCAGAGCCACACGCATGCCCGTCCCTTCTCCCCTGCCCAGGTCCTGTGTGGCTCTGCAGCGCAGGGTGCTGCGGCAGTGCTGCCTCAGCCTCCCCAGTTCCTCCACAGGCATCGGGGACTGGCTCCTACCTGGCACAGTGGCTTTGGGGAGAGGCCTTGGAGGTGACGGCCAGGACCCCAGCACCGGCTCGGCCCAGCCCAGCCTCTGTGGCAGTTGGTCCAGCAGGGTGGGGCGGGAGGGCTCTGTGCTTGGCTCTGCCCAGATGGTGGCCTGCCCCCTCCCCGGGCAGGCTCCTCAGCTCCCAAACAGGTGCTGCCTCTTTGGAAAGGGGGTGCGGGGCTCCTGCTGCACACCCAGGCAGCACCCTCCCTCTCCCTCCTGCAGGCAAAAGTGCGCCCGGTACCTCGTCTGGGGCAGCTCCAGCCACAGGCTCTGCCTCAGGGTGGGACTGTGGCAGGGACAGTGACAGGTGTCCCTCACCCGGCGGTCCCCTGGGCAGGCCTGGCAGCTCCACTCCGGGGGGTCAAATGGGGTGCTGTGCAATCCATAGCTGTGTTGAGCATGGACCAGGGTTCCGAGGCCGCAGTGCAACTCTGCTGGCTCCCAGCGCCGGCCTCCTCCTCCAGGTCTGCCCCATGCCCACGGCTGTCCCTGCCTGGGTGCACAGCTAAGCCGCTCCATCCTGTCCCATGGCCTCTCCTGACGGCTGCCATCCCTTGAGTCAGACCCAGAGCCACCCGGGGGCGAGGCCAGCTCTGGTTCCCAGCCTGACGCAACTTTATCTGCTGCCCACCCGCCTGTCCTCTCCTGAGTCCTCACTGTGGCCCTCTGTTCCTGCCCCCAGTCCCTCATCTGGCTGGTCTGCCCCCTCTTCCTTAGGGTCCCCCCTCCAGCTCTCCCACCTTAGGGACTGACAGGGGACCCTGGGGTCCCGCAGCATCCAGGACTCCTCCTTTGCACCCCCTTCCTTTGGGGTCCTCCCAGCCAGGTCCCCTGCTCTTCCGGTCCAGCCCCAGGTCAGGTGTAGCTCCTCCTCCTTCTCCCTGGCCCTGCCCCAGGGCCCTCGCCAGCCTCCCTGGCAGAGCTGACTTCTCTCAGGCGTCTTCCTGGGGCCGCTGATCAGGAAGATGCCCGTGCCAGCCTGGTTGCCCGCTCATGGCCGAGGACACAGACGGCTCTAACAGTATTTTCAGCTGACTGTCAACGGCTGCTGTCACTGTGCCTTGTCCTGAGCCTGGCGCTGCGTGCAGAAGCATGCAGTGGCAACCCTCGGCCTGCGGATTAGTGGCCCCACCCTTGCAGTGCCTGGCCATGGGCTCCCCACACCCAGGCAGGAGCAGTCCCCTTGAGGGAATGGGGGGTTTCCCCAGCGGTGACTTCTCTGATGACCCAGAGGTCACTGAGCAGGCAGTCGGCATCCCCCGCCCTCCCTGTGTCGTCCCCATTGAGCTGCACGCCGTGGCTGGGGCCCGGCTGAGTATGCGGCCATCTTCCGGACCGCTGCACTCATCCAAGCCCCTTTCTGCACGCATCACTGTCTGTCTCCCTGGCGGGCACCTTAGGGTGGGTGACGGGTGCAGGGGAGCCGCCACTCTGCACCCCGCTTGTCCTGTGGTCACCAGCAGTCAGCAGAAAGGGCCCTGCGTGAGGGGCTGTGCTTCCGGCCTCCCGGGTGCTTTGAGGGTCCTTGCCTGGCAGCCGAGCAGGCCTGGCAGTGTGCAGGTGGGGACCCCATGGGGAAGCTGTGAGGACAGGGTACAGGGGCTTGCAGGACACGGGGTCCATCTCTGCATCCAGCAGCAAGGGAAAGGGAACTATTCAGATGCCACTCGCTGCCGTGCTGGGCGCCAGGCTTTGAGGGACTGGGCCTGGGTGCTGCCGCGGGTCCTGCTGCGGAGATGAGACGCCAGCACAGCTCGCCTGCTCCCTGTGAGCGGTCCCTCCCGGGACTCCGGGGCTTTGTGTGCCGTGTGCAGCCCCGCCACATGGGCTTCCGGAGGCCCAGGGGGAGGGACGCATCTTCCCACCGGCTGAGGGTGCTGTTCCTGCTCATGGCCTCGGCCCACTGGCTGCCAGGCAAGGGCTCCACCTGCCTCCACGTTATACTCAGTCCCAGTACGAAGGCCTGCTGCTGTCGGGTAGGTCCCAGGCACTGGGATCTGGAGATTGAGCCCAATGGCTCTACCACTGAGCACCCACCCCACCCCCCCGCCACTTTTGGAGACAAGGTCTCACCATGTAGTCCAGGCTGCTTCAAACTTGTGACCCTCCTGCCTCAGCCTCCTGAGCAGCTGGGCTTTTGATATTTTTTCCTAATTCCTTCTTGGTTATTGGTCTTCTGAGAATTTTTTTTTTTTTTGGTACCAGGGATCAAACTCAGGTCCTTGTGCTTGCAAGGCAGGCGGCAGCACCACTGAGCTAAATCCCCGGCCCTTTTTTCAGAATTTTAACCCAGTTTGAGATGATTTTTTTTTTCTGGTACCAGGGATTGAACTCGGGACCTTGCGTTTGTGAGGCAGGTGGCGGCACCACTGAGCTAAATCCCTAGCCCTCCTACAACTTTTTTAAAAAGGTTATTTGTATCTCTCTTCTCATTCTTAAAATTATTTATCTTTTATCTGTTTGACAAACTTGCTAGACTTAGTTTGGACTACATGAAAATGGAATTTCTGCAGGTTAAAAACCATTGCCAATTTCTGTGTATCTTCTGATTTAACATCTGTTTTGTGTGTTCTGAGCACAATGACTTGATCTCCATTTCTTCACTCTACTTAAATTACCAACAGGTCTTCCTACTCAGGTCAGAAAGTGTCATGGACACTTGTCGCTTGCCCACCCTCAGGAATCGCGCCTCAGGGCTGAAGCCCACTGGACTGGGACCACTCTCGGGGGGCCGGCACCGCCCGAGGCCGCGCTTCCCCACTGCTCTCCGCTCTGCCTGTCTGCACCTGAGGTCAGCATGGCAGGGGCTAGAGCTCCTGTTGGCTGCTGCAGGCACACACACACCTGCGTGCAGACGCTTGTGCCTCAGCCTCCAAAGTGCGCATTCCTCGGGCCTCCCGGGGCTGCCCTGAGGGCTCCTCCCCAGGCCCCAGCCTCTCCTCCTGTTGCCCCTTGCCCCCTCCCTGTCCACCAGCTTGGCTGTGGGCAGAAGCACAGCGCCCACCCTGAAGCCTGGGGCCTGCACAGCCTTGCTGAGCTTTGCTTTCCGCTTGCTTCAGACAGCGGCTGCTCCCCAGACCTAGGTCTCCGTCTGTCTGGAGAGGGTCAGAACCAGGAGTGGACGCTTGGTCCCAGCCTCGCAGCGCTGGCCACAGAGGCAGTGCAGAGCCCAGGCTCCAGCCCAGGCTCCAGCCCAGCGACCCAGAGAGGTGTGGGCCCTGAGAGCTTGCAGTGTGGAGGCGGACAACTGCTGAAATCCAGGTGGATCCTAAGCAACTGCTGTGGGTGGCAGTGAGGGAGGCCCCGCACCTGTCAGCGCAAGTGCAGCCGCTCCTGGAAGTGGAAGGACTCTGGTGGCCCTGTGGCATGGGGGCCAGCGAGGCCCCGAGGGACGCCGCAGCCTGCGCTCGGTCCCGACCCTGCCCGAGTGAAGGCGGCGGCCCTGTCTCAGGCTGAGGTGCAGTGAGGGGCACTGGGGCCACCGCTCCTCACCACCACCCCTCACGCCAGGGTTCTGTTTTCGATCTCCAGCACCTGTCCAGAACTGGCACCGACTGCCCTGGACTCAGCAGCGCGACAGCTGTAGGTCAGGGCTGCTCACACCTGCCTGCACCCTAGGGAATGAGGGCCTGCTGCCCCCACGCCGGTCCCTAAAGCACACCCAGCCTGTCATCGACACGGGTGGACGAGACCTGGAGACCAGGGCCCAGCCAGCCACAAGAACTGTGTTCTGTCCACTGCTCGCCAGGGACAGCGCGGCAGGGCTGAGTGGCACCCGTGCCCGGCGCACGTGGCATCGCACGCTAGCTACCGTCAGTGCCTTTTATTGCCGTGGGGCTGTGACTTGAGAATGACGAGGTCAGGAGCAATGGCTGGATTGAAAACCTGTGGCCAGGGAGTTCTTGTGAGGAGAGGGGCAAGCGAGGAACCGGGCGGACTCAGAACCTGACGAAGGTGGCGTCGATCTGCCGGACGGACGGCAGGGCCAGCATGACTTTCCGCCGGTACTGTGGGTCCCTGTGCAGGGGGTTGCGCTCCAGGTACACGGTCTCGAGGCTACGGGCACCCTTCAGCGCGTCCAAGTCGCTCCAGCTCTCCAGGAGGTTGTCGTTCATCTGGGGATAGAGTGGCCGTGCAAGGAGGGCAGCCCACCCCGGCCCAGGACCTGGACCTGGCTGCAAGGCGCAGGTCGCTGTGGGTCGCCCTCTGCCCCGCCTCCTGGCACCTGCAGTCCCCCGGGGACTTCGCAGCGGCAGTGCACAGATCTGTTCACCCCAGAACTGGGCCGGGAAGCTGCCTCCCACAAGCACAGGGCTCCACATTGACAGGCCTGCTCAGCACTGTTCCCAAAGCCGGACTGTGCCTGTCTGTGGCCTGCAGGCCAGAGGCCACCCTCCTGAGCCTGCGGCTCCTGCCCTGCACCAGCGGTCCCTGAGGACACCCCACTCGGAGCTTGCTTCACGCTGTGACACAGGTGTGAGGCCATGGAGTCTTGCTTTCTGTGGCACTGGGCTTGGACCCAGGGCCTCTGCACTGAGCTACATCCCCAGCCCACTTCTATTTTGAGACAGGCCTTGCTAATTTGCCCAGGCTAGGCTGGGACTTGTGGGCCCACTGCCTCAGCTTCCCAGAGTGCAGGGATTGCAGTGTGTGGCACCTGTACAGGTGTGTGCCCCCAGCAAGGGGCAGGCTCACAACCCTGGCCATCTACCCCATCCATACCACTGAGCTACACCCCCGCTGCCAAAGGCCTCTCTCACGTCTGGACTCCTCCCATTGGCTCTGCAGCGCTACCCCAGAGCCACATCACGACCTCGGGGTGAAACAGTGGATTCCTGGGTGGCTGTGCCCGCAGTCACCACCCTGACTTTCCACGGAGCTGGGATGTGGCTGTGCTGCACGCGTGCACCCCTCCTCCGGGTTTGAAGCCTTTAAGTCAAACGCCAGTTCCAGGGCCTGAGCACACACAAGTCGGGCCTTCTACATGTTCATCTGCACCTGGTTCCAGGCAGACGCTGTGTCTGGGGCATGGCAGGGCCAACTGTGATCCTGACCAGGATCTGCAACTCTTACAGATGCTGCCCTGTGGCTTGTACTCAGGAGCAAGGGCAAAGAAACACCAAACCCTGGCACCCCAATGCCCCAAACCTCCTCAATGCTTGGCCATACCACCAAGGCTCACTGGACCAGAGGTCTTGCGTCAACAGGACCCGCTGAGCCACAGCACTACCCAACCTGAGGTGTACACTTACCCAGAACTCCTGCAGCTCTGTTAGATGGCTGATATTTTCAATCTTTTTGATTCTATTTGATGCAATGTCCAACATCGTAAGTTTGTTCTAAAATAAGAAAATAAAAGTTCTCCTGGATTACCACCGTTCACACGTGATTATGTGACCATGCAGTATGAAGCGCTGAGCTCAGGGCTGCAGGACAACCCAGCCTCTGCTTCAGGGGCACGACTGCGGAAACTGTATTCAGTGGTTACCACGAGGAGACGCACAACAGCACAGCACACACTACACGAGATTCCTCTCCTTGCTAGAGCCAAGAGCCCGGGGCTCAGGGAGGGTGTGACACTGCCTGGGCACACAGCAGAGGCACGAGGAGGTGCCTAGTCCCCCGCCACCCCGACAGAGGCCCTCGGGCTGGGATGAGGCCATGGAGCCACGCTGAGCCCCACTGGGACTACAGTGATGGGCGAGAGGGGCAGTGGACAGTCACGGAGGACCATGTCCCGGGTGAGGGACAGTGCACACCCAGCAGGACACATTGCATTTACGATCAGGTCAGATGCCTGCAGTACAGATCAGGTGCTCAGCCTGGGGGGTTGTTTCAAAGCTCACAGAATTTCAAGATTTAACAAGAATAATTTCATGGTGGAAATTACATCTCCCATAGCTCCTACTGCTTGCCCCTGTAACTAATCACCCGGCAAGCTTTTCTAAACTCAGAGGGAATCTTCCCACCCAATGCTCTCTACACTTCTGAAGGTCCCTGTCTTCTCTTCTACCAGGTTCCTGGCATTCCCATTCCAAGTCCTCTCAAGTTTTAAGGGAAAAGCTTACACAGTCCCAGCAAAATAAGAACGAAACCCACAAACACACATGATGCCCACCAATGGCTCTGCAGACGAAAAGGCTCTGTGGTGCTGGCTTCCGCACCTATGCCATGGCAGCACAGGGCACAGGTACCCTGAACACTGACTGGGACTCAGACAGTACGAGTGTGAGGGCCGCCACACCGAGCAAGTTACAAGGTCAGTGTGACGTGTCCTTCAATATGGGATAAAGGCACATAGCTGAGCTGGGTCCTGCAAACCACCCCATCTCACTGCCTGCCACATCCACCAATGTAGTGAGTGGGGCCATGTTCCGGCAGTTCAGGGCCTGCAAACCGCGGAGAGGGGGCCCGTGGGCAGCCCAAGGACACAGAGCGTGGCAGCAGGGCTGGGACAGGCTGCTCCCCAGCACTCTGCACCTGTCCTGTGATGGTCACCTCCTAGGAGTGCAAGCCCAAGCGGATGAGGGAAGTGCAGATCTGAGCCCCATGAGGTCCGACCAAGGCGAAGGTGCAGCCCTCGGCATGCGCTGGTGGCAGCACAGCTGTCAGGCCCAGACCCTGACCTCCCAGCTCAGGGTCTTACTCACACACTCGTGACTCCTGCTGTGGTTTATAGGAGGAGCTAGACCTGTCTGAAAGCTCTTCTAAAAGCAAACCAGTAAACTACTTTTAAAAAACGAAAAGGAAAAAGGAACAGAGCAGGCTGGCATCCTGTGTCACGATGTAACACCTGGTCAGGGGCCAGCATGTTCTGGACCCCGGGAGGGGTGGGCAGAGCCAGCTCCAAACAGGATAGGTGTCGGGGCGGGAGGCACCGTCTGTTGAGTGGGTCGGGGCCGGGCACTTGCCAGTTGGGAAAAGGGACATATCTCCTCACCTCCCATTGGAGAAATACATTCGCAATCCATTAAGAAGTAAAACGTGCAAGAAAATGAGGTAAAGTTTTGATTTCTGGTAGAGAAATATTCCAGAGGAATTTTGATAGTCATGAATA